AATAAATAAAATAAATAAAATAAATATCTGGTTAAATTGATTATCATAAAGAATTTGGTTATTCTCTTTCCTCTTAGCATCATTTGAATCAGCCAATTTTGAATTTAATTGTTTAATAACGGAATCTTTTTGTTGTAATTCGAATTTTAAACGATCAACTTCTTGTTGAAGAGCATTATCAACAGCCAAAGAGATATCATTTGAATTACGATCAGGAGTTGAGGGAGTAGAATTATCTTTTTGTAATTTTTCCAATTCATCCTTTAAACTTTTAATATCACTATCACGACGTCTAAGTTCTTGTTCAACTTTTTCAGCTTGTTGTTTTACGGATTCTTTTTCGTAACTAACTTTTTCCAATTCATCTTTTAAACCTTTAACCAAATTATCATATTCAACACCACTAAGACGATTACCATTAACGCTTATAACACTTTGACGATGATTACTATTAATACTTTTAGCGTAATCACTATCAGCTTTATCTTTTGTAACTAAAGATTCATCATGATTTTTTTCAATTATACTATTTCTTTTATCTGAATCACTAGAACCATCTTTAGTCCTTTTACGAAGGCTTTTTACTTTAGCCATCAAGGAAGGTTTAGATTTAGCATCATCTTCAGGATGAGAAGGATCCGAACGAGCTTGATCACCGAAAAATTTTAAAGTTTTCATTTTTATATATATATATATAATAAATAAATATTAAATATATATTTATATATATATATATATAATATTATACGAATATTAAGATATATAAGTATGTATCCTGTCTTTAAAAAATTTCTCAGATAACTGATAATAATAGAAGATAATATTTTTTCTTTGGCGAAGTTTCACGGGCCCCGTGTAATATAAGGATTGGGAGAATGAATGAAAGATGTGAAAGGGATCTTTTTTATAGTTCTAAACCCAGATACAAGTAACCTAAATACAAGTAGATACAAGTAAATACAAGAGTATGTGTAATGACCCTGTAAGAAGTAGCCGAGTAAAAAGAACGGGGAAGGTGTGTGTGATATATATATATATATATATAATATTTGTATATATACGTAAATATACATATAATATATATTATATATTATATATATATATATATATATTAAATAAATAAGATTATGTATTATATGTACATATATACATATATATATTCTCTACTTACCAACAATAATAAGGGGATTCACCGGCAGGACTCAAATATCAGGAGAGATATCAGGAGAGCGAAGCATACAATAAGATGGAAAATACAAAAAAAAAAATACAGTGAAAAAGAAAAAAAATTAACAAAGATGCCGATGACAAAAAGCAAAGACGATAGAGAAATAAAGAAGAAAAAAAAAAAAGAATACAAAAAGTGGATACTACAATAAATAATAAATAAATAAATAACAATATATATATATATGTATATAAAATAAAAGAGATTAATTGGGGGCTGTGGTAATTGTTGTCAAACAAGGATTAACTTTGGCGGAATGATTAAACTTGTGTGAGAAGAAAGCTCGCGGAACTTTAATGTAGAATTGACTTGTTTATATCTAAAGAGTACAAGAAGCATCTTAGTGGTTTAAAATATGCCATTAATTACTTATTTATGTTGTATTCAGAATAATCATAGAACCAATAAATAAATAATAAACATATATTATGCAATGTATTTATAAATGAGTTTAGTGTATAAATAAGTGAGCCGCATATATTATGCACGCGTAGAAGTTGTGACAACAGTAATGCACCAAATGCACTAATAATGCGGTATTACGATAAGTACATAGGACGTATGTATGACGAACCAATAATCCAGGAATTAATTAAGGACGATGAGAACATTCTTCAAGAAAGTAAATATCGTATTATTTATGGCATTATTTATAGTATTATTTATGGTAATATTTATGGTATTATTTAACGTATAATGTCAAAAATGCTATAAAAATATTAATCAAAATGCGAGAGAATAAATGCGAGAGAATAACTAAGAGGAAAGAGAATAACCAAATTCTTTATGATAATCAATTTAACCAGATATTTATTTTATTTATTTTATTTATT